CAGTAACTACTCCTTTGCCAATCAAATTACCTGACTTCAGGCTGGCTTTGATGCAGTTGATAGAAAGCAGTCACTAATCCACCAAGTCAAATCCTGTTTCACTGGCACGCACTTGTGTGCTTTAACAGTTGCGCAGGTTTCATTTTAGTTAATTTCATGTCCTGTCTGTTCCTGGACCTTTGGGGCTTTAGGGGGTAGAGTATGCTTTGGTTTTAATGAAGCCTTTTCAGCTGTCCTGGGCTTAGATGTTTTTTGGAAGTGGGAAAAGCTCAAGGGTTCTTCTGAATACATGAAAATAGCTTCAGGCCCCGGGGCACTGAGCCTGAGGGAGCAGTGCTCTGTGGGTCACTGCTAGGGGCTGGCCTTTGTCACGGGCAGGAGCAGGGCTATGAACCAGCCACCATTCCCAGACTGGTGCCTGCTTCTTATGTGAGACCTCAGCCTGCTTAAGTCAGTGTCACGATTGCTTGGTCCTGAGGGGTGTTAAAGCTCTCCCCATTGCTGTGACTGGCAGAAGAGTCTGTACTGAAGTGCTACTGGAGGATTTGTATGTGATCTCGAAGGAGTTCTTTGAGGCCAGGTTGGAGAAAGCCTTGTGCAACACAGTCTAGTTTGAGGTGCCAATCCAAACCATTCTGTGACACCCTGTGAGGGTGCTGAGGTGCTGGCACAGGGTGCCCAGAGAAGCTGTGGCTGCCCCATCCCTGGCAGTGTTCAAGGCCGGGTTGGACACAGGGGCTTGGAGCAAGCTGCTCTGGTGGAAGGTGTCCCTGCCCATGGCAGGGGTTGGAGCTGGATGAGCTTTAAGGTCCCTTCCAACCCAAACCAGGCTGGGATTTGGACCGGGCAGAAAGGCTGGGACAAGGCTGGCTTGTCTGCAGGTGAATAAGGCTGAATCAGGTGAAGCTGGGTAGTAAAATATGCTTCCTGCAAAGGGGATTACAAATCTCCCTGTGTCAGGCTAAGCCTGTGCTGTCAGAACTGTGTTCAGGTCTCTCTCCTCCCTCTGAATCTCATCCTTGCAGGTGAGACCAGCCTTGATCAGTGGCTTTCAAACCTTGGCCCCAGACATTTTATGTGAATTGCTCTTGTTGCCAAGTTTTGTGTCCCGAGCTCATTTTCAGCAGTTGCAGATGTGTAAAATATGGCTGAGACTGGCTCAAGACCTGCGTGTGGGACACCTAAAGAGGGAGGACACGTGCCTGGGCTTGCTGTCTTCAGGAACGTTCCCTGAGTCCAGCATGCAGGATGGGGAGCTGTAGTTTCAGTTTTTCTCCCTTTCTCAAAGGAGAATGTGCCCTCCCCAAATCATAGTGGAAAAAGGGCTTAATGGTAACATCTATCTGCTGTCTCTTACAGTAATTCCTGATAGCTAGAAGTCCCAAGGTTACAGGAATTAGCTCAAACCAGGGTGTTAGCATGGTTTGTAGTGTTCTGCTTGGTGGTGAGACCAGAGGAACCAGCCTGTTCACTGCTCAGCAGGAGGCCAGCAGCGTGTGTTGGGGATGATGGAACACACCAGTCTGGTGTGGTGCTGGTTTGGATGGGCAGTGACTCTCCCACTGTGCTGATTGTGCTGTGAGGGGTGGACACAGCAAACAGGGGCACATTATGGCTCTTCTGGGCATGGGAGAGCCTGCCCACAGGGATCACCTCCTGACTCGCACCCTTGGTCATCCTGTGCAGATGCAGTGAATTGACTGACATGAGCATCGTGTGCTTTTAAGCACATTTTCAAATGCTAAATCATTCATGTTTTATTTTTAAAGTAATAGACTTTGTGTTGTACAGAGTTTGCCAGGGGCACTAGGACACAGTTGCAGTCTATTGGAGTGAAAGCGAGGGTGCTTTGCAGTCAGAACCTCTTTGTGGAGCCATGGTAAATGCACCCACAGTCAGCTCAGCCCCCCAGCATACTGTGGCATCAGCTTGTCCAAGCCAGTGTGGGCTTCCTGAGGTGATGGGCACCTCTGGGCTCACGTGTTGGAGATGGTCAGTGCAGTCGACCTGTGCAGGCCCACACAGTGAGGCTGTCATTGTGTCAGGCTGCAGATGGGCTTGGTGAGAGCTCTATAGAAACACCTTGGGGAAGAGCTATGGAAAGGAGGGACTGGAAGAGTGAGTGTGTTTGTGTGCATGCACGTGTATGTCCATGGTCAGAGATGGGCAGTGAACAGTAGAGTCACGTTAGCAGCTGTTGGTTGATGGAAGCTAAAGCTGCTGAGCTCCAAAGCTTAGCTGCTGGGACATCATAGTTATAAACTCACTCTTCATCAAGTCATTTGCAGAGGTTGATCAAGCTGAAAGCCTGGAGCTGCACTGCTGAAAGGTGATCAGGGCTGAGTGTTGAAGCAACAAATCCTTCACTTGCCTGCATGGCGTGGCCTGGGCACCACTTGTGCTGCAGGACAAGAATGCTGAAGGGAGGTGCTGGAGGAGAGGTCCCTTCCACCTCTGGTAAGGGCAGACTTGAACATACCTTGTCTGTGCTGCTGCTGCAGACCAGGGCTGGCGGGCAGGGGGGATGCAGGGCTCCTAAAGCTCCTTCTTTTGCCCGCAAGCAAGGTGCCACCATCCTGTGAAGCTGGCACATGGCTGGTGCAGGACCCCATGGGGAGGGCAGCCCTGGTGCCTGCCATGGCTACCACCTGGGAGTTTCCTGGGATGCTTCCTGCCTCTATTCCTGACACCCAACCCACAGCTACCACCATAGCAGCCATTTCCATCAGTCAGATCTAGCTCTGATGTGTGTTGCTGGTGGATTCTAGACAGGGATGGAGCAGGACCCTGCTGTTGTGCCCACCACTGCTGCTTTCTCCTGGCACTGATCCCAGGATGGATCCAGGCAGCTCCAAGGGAAAAGGCAGCTGCCATCCTCCTCCTGTGCTCCCTCTGACCTTTCCTGCTCCTGGGGTTGTGGTTTAAAGGAGCTCCAAGCAGGCTTACTGCCATCCACACTGGAGCCTTGTCCAGTCAGCAACCACAGGAGAGCACAGCCAGAGCGAGGGGTGCCACGAGAAAAGGAGCCAGAAGGTATGTTTTAAATACTTTTATTTCTTAATTTACATAAAGGTATATATTTGGCTTATTTATCTTTTATTTTTTTTTATACTCTGAGATTCACAATCAGTTGCTCTTAAAAAATAAAATAGTCATTTGCTTCTGAAAGAACTCAGAAAACTATTTTATACTCCTCCCTTGTATAACAAGAAAATACACTAATACTCCCGTACATCACATGGTAAAAGAGATTTTAAGTGCTGGTTACCAAACAATAAAGCAAATGGAGAACACCATTAGGACAGAGGGTGCAGAGGGGAACTGTGTTGTCAGAATACAGCCATTCATTTCCATGGTTTAGTTGTCACCCTGAGGCTCTCTCCTGGCTGGTCTGTAAAAGGGGAGAGGCTCTGGGGCTCACCCAGGTTCTGCTCTGGTGATGGCAGCAGGAGCCTCCCACTGCTGTTATTTGGGTTGGCAGCTTGATGGTTTTTGGGTCGTTTTCTTGCCTCTCTGTGCAGTTCCTGTTACCTCTGTTTCTCTGGCTGTGTATGAGCCACCTAATTGCTTCTGTAGTGGGTGCATGGTGCAGATGCAGTAGGAGCTGCAGAGGAGCTTAATGCTTGCTTAAAAGGATACCTTTATGGAGTGGAGTGGAGTGGAATGGAAAGGCCTCATGATGAGCTAAGGGGCACCTGGACCCTCCCTGGTGCACTCTGGCCACCCTGCATGATCCTGATGGATGCAGGAAGGCTGCATCTGACACTGTCAGTCCCGCAGAGCACAGGGAGACTGGAAGGAACCTGTGCTTGTGGAGAGCCATGGGACACCCTCAGCCTGGGGCAGAGGTGTGGAAGAGGCAGAGAGCGGGGTAAGGACTCAGCAGTGCCAAACAAACCCTGGACACCTTTCCCCTTGCTTGGGCTCCTGTGCTGAGGAGATGTCTGTGTGCTGGGAGGGGAGGGCACGAGCAGTGCCCCTCTGGTAGTGTTTTCCACGTGTCTGCAAATGAATTCAGGGGCGCCTGTTTGTATACTCTCATTTCCAGATACTCACACAAAGTGATCCTGTGTGCAAGGGAGCAGTGGTTTTAAAGGTAGTTGAGGCCTTACTGGGACACTTTGATTTTGTGTTGAAGTTTAGAACCACAAACATAACCTTGATGACCTGAATGATGACTTATTTAAGCGACAGGCTGGAATCCTGCCCCATTCAGTGTAATGGATACTAAAATGTGTGGATTCTTTATTAAAATCTTACTCTCCTTTCCTATTAACAGCTTTTCTTTGTAAAGCCAGAAATGCTGCTTTTAATGGGGGTTCTTATTTAGTGTGGATGTAAGAAATAGACATTCAATCCAGAATTCTCACTCCAGAAGTACTTCCTGTGTGTATAACAGAAATTGTTCCACTGCTCCAGAGAGTCAACAACCAAATGGCCCCAGCAGCTTCCAAGCCTGGTTATGTCAGTACCTGCCTAACGTGAAGTCACAGGGGAAACCAGCACAGCATTGCTTGCTAAGTCCAGAGTTCAGCACTGCTATAATACAATACTGTAGCATACAGGTATAGTGTAGACCCCTGATCTAAGTGATCTGGTTTCTCTCTAACAGACCAAATACCTTTATAGAAGCACTAACTGAACAATCCTTCACAGCTAAACCAAGAAATGCAGCCTTACAGCTCCTGGCCATTCAGAGGTGGGTCATCAAAGTGTAAAGGAGCAGCAGCATCCGCAGGAGGTGGAAAGCCCAAGTTTCCATTCTGTTAATCCTCTCTGAGCTGTCATAGCTGCTGCTCTGGCTTCCCTCTCTCAGCCTTGAACCTGTGGGACATCCCTTGGTGTGGGACTGCTGCAGGTAGGACTCACTTCTCACTCCCTGGCTTGCTCCCTTCACTCTTCCCTTGTAAAAACAAAGCCACAGCAATTTCCTTCATATGCACAGGAGCTGAAGCCCGCCTCCAGTCACAGCCTGTGCCTCTGATGAGGGCTGGGGCAACCTAGTGAAAGTACACACCACTTCAGTTCCCTTTCCATTGTTGACGCCTGAGAATTAAGGTTAAAGGCAATTCCTAAGCTCTGAACTTCAGCAGGAATGCTCCATTTTGTTGACAGTAAATGCTACAATGGAGAGAGCCCATCGGAAAAGCAATGTAGGAAATGTGGCTTATCGTCTTTGGTCTCCGAGATGAAATGACTGATTGTTGGGCTGCTTTTTGTTTCTTTTTAAGCAGCTTAACAAAGAATTTCTTAATGGGAATAAGAACTTCATGTGCCTTTAAAGCCAAGAGTTTGGCTCCCAGACTGCAGAATGTTTCCCCTAGGAATGTAAATACTGGCATGAGGTGGGAAATGGAGCATTGTTGTGGATTGGCTTTGCTTTATTATTTCTAGCACCTGCTTGCTGTTCTCCAGAGGGTGCCCAGGCACGCGAGGAAAATGTTTGGCTCTGGTTGTTTAGAGCCTAAAGCTCTTGTTCAGGTATTTTAGGTGACAGAGCATCCTTTGCAGAAGAGTCCATTGGATTTTGAGGAGGAGGAAGGGCTCATGTTGTTACAGGAGTCACCCCCAGGACCCATCTGGGCAGAGACTGGCTCTGTGGTGAGCATTAACCAGTTTGGTGATACCTGGGGTTACCAATCATCTCTACTACAGTGCTGTACTACAGGACCTAGCACATCCTGGAATGGAGTGGGAGATAAACCCCAGATGTACTGACAGTACCTTCCTGTGTCTCTGAACAAGCTTCCAGCCTGAACTCGCATCCTCTCTGAGTCTGGCATTTCCTTTGCTGATTTATCTGCTACCTACTCGAGCTGTGTGCTAAGGGGAGTACCTAACCTTTGGGAGACATCTAAACAGAACAAAGGGAGTGGGAAGTTCCCTGAATCAATGCCCTTTCTCTGGAAGCCTGGCTCCTGCTCCAGGGCCTGCGCTCACCTGCCTTTCCCAGCATCAGCCTGACACAGCAGAAATCTGGCTTGTGGAGGCCAAATGCAGGAAACAAGACTGCAGTGAAATGGCACTTTGACTTCCAGATACACGCTTCTGCATTTGAGACTCACAGTTCAGACACTGACTTGTCTACTAAAGATCTCAACTGCATCTTCATAAGGATAAAAGTGACCCCGCAGTAAGAGTAGCCTTGGGACTGTTCCTGACGTTGGGCATGCATTCAGCCTAAGCACTGCTTGTGGTAGAGTATTAGCATGAACAACACATGTAGTATGATATGCACGTAAACAAAGCAGGGTGTCACTGGCACAGCAGTATTGCACTACCAGGCCCTAGATAAAGCAATTCAGCCAGGTGGATTTTGGTACTTTAAGAACCTGTGAACGTCCTTGGGTGAGGCTGAATTTAGCACATTGAGCAAACTCTAGAGCCCCTGTGTGTTTCAGTCCAAAGTTCTTCTGGGCCTTTCTGTAACAACCACCAGCACACCCAGTGCAGTGAAACTCTCTCCTCTGTCCCATTGCTCAGCCTTGGGTGACAGCTAAGTCACCCACTGGAAATCTTCCTGTGGTACCCTTGCAGGGCCTTATCCCAGGGCGCTGAGATGAGGAGAGCTGTGGACGTTATTCATGTCTGGTATGGTTGCACAGGCAGCACCAGATTTTCAATGTTTAAATAAAAACTTTATCTAAATATATATATATATATATCTGTCATCTAATGTCTTCAGCAGAGATAAAGCATCTTATGACATATTTAAATAAAAAATAATAATAATCTGAATTGAGCCTTCAGTGTTCAAGAACAGGTGATGTACAGAATAGGTCCCCAACTAGTGCAGTCTCTGGGTGCTGACACAACAGCAGCATTCAGTAGGATGTAAGTTGCCCTATAAACGATGTGGACTTTGTTGGCTACAACTAAAACCATATACATAATCTACAGTCACTCACTTGGATAGCACATTTGGGGTCCAGTTGCTTTTGGTGCTCAGAGAAACCTGTGAACATCCTTATGCTCAAGAAGTTCTTGTGTTCCAGGTTGCCCTGCTCACGTCCTGATGCCTGACCCTGCAGGCTGCAGTGGTGGGATTGATTTGGTGCTGGAGAACCCTTCCAGGGTGGTGTAAAGCTGAGGGGTCCACTGGTTTCCAGTATGGAAGGGCTTCGAGCTCAAGATTGGTGTGGTGGTGGGAGCAGGAGTCCACATGGCATTTCCTTCACTAGCAACTGTAAACAGGGAAGAGATGAAGATGGTGAATGGGGTAGAATCACAGTCACAGGAAAGTATTGGCAATGGTGAGCATGTGCACTGCAGCTCTGTGGTACCCCAGCAGTGAGCCCAGCTCACAGTCTTGCTGCTAACAAGACAGAGCAGACCTGCGCTTTCTCCCACCCTTGCTTTAAAGAGCAGTGTCAGCACATCTAGTGACTGGTGAGTTCCCGCTGGTTCATGCTGTGGTGTATGTGATTGCCCAGATGAAGTGGGAAGGATAACCAGCTCTCTCGCTGCAGGATTTCCTGGGATCTGTGCTCCATGTTATGCAGGAAATTGCCCCTGAGCTTAAAAATCAGTCACTGCTGGGTTACAGCAAAACTCCCTGGAACGGTGGCCTGGTTTCTCTCAACCTGCATAAAACTGGACCAAAACAGAAGTACAGTGAAAAACCTTGGTGTGCAGAGCCCCAAGTGTTCAGTGTTGTATAAGGCAAGTCTCAGCAACACCAATTCATGTTTTCTCCCAGGCTTTTTTGAGGCATTAAAACCCAACCAAACAACAAACACCTGTGTCTAAAAGCTGCTGGTAAATAACAAGGTGTGAGTGCACATCCAGCCCAGAGACTGCAAAGCCCAGGCAGGCCTGTCAAATCCTTAGCCTACGACAGAACATAGTCCCCTATGTGGAAGTAACGCATCTGCTGTACTAGAGATTACATTAAGTCTTTTCCCCCAAAAGGCCGTTCTTAAGTGTGCTATTGAGTTCTGATTGTATGATTAGTCTTTCAATGCATTTAATTTATGGGAAGAAAAAGCTCCTCTTCAAAAACTTGCTTTAATTAATTTTGGCTACAGTAAAACGCTGGGAAGTGTTTATCAGTCGTGTCAGCTCTGAGCTGCACTGCTGTGACTGCTGGGGAGTGATAAGAATAGCAGAGACCCAAGGGAGAAGAAAGGGCAGAGGGAATGGGACCCTCCCTCTGGCTCACTGCCCTGGAGCAGGGGTTGCAGTGGGGCCAGGCCTTGAAGCAATGTGCAAGTTCATGCAATGCCAGAAAACCTTTTTCTGCAGAAAAAGTGGACTGTGATAAGAATGGTCATTTGATGGTGAACTGATGTTGGACCCAGAGCAAGGCAGCAGCAGGTTTTAGGAACACCAGATGTGTGCTAAGTTCTGGCCCTGGACAACCACACTACAACTCAGTACAACAAAGGACACTTGACCCCTGGATTCCCTGTTCTTGATTTGCTTGCATGTGGGTTGAGGGTAGCAAAGGTGCAAACGGTGGCTCTCTAATGTTAACTTCTTTCCAATTGAGAAGGGAAGAAGTGTGTTTTTCCAAGGGGTTTGGGAGAGGATGGGTAGCTGGAAACCAGTTGCTGGTTTGGGTCACTCACCGTCTCAAACTTTCACAGAGGCTGGTGGCATCACAAGTTGATTCACCCTGGTAAAGGTAAAACACAAAGTGACATGTGAGAGCTGCAATTAGCAAAGAAACAGGCTCCTAAAAACACACCAGCCTATTAAATCCAGGTTGCTGTTGCTTAACGGTTCTAAAGAGATAGACAGGACATTAATAACTGTCCTGCACAAGGGTATAAAGCTGAGGCAATCCTGACAATTGCTGGAACATGCCAAGTACCATTGCTGACACTAATTGACAAGGATTTGGGAAGGTCCCAAAGGCATTCAGCTGTAGCAATTGTTTCCCTAAGCCAGTAACAAGATTGCTCATCCAGTGGCTGCTGCGGGGCGTCCTCCAGCCTGACAGCACGAATGCAAACAGTCACCACTGGTAAAAGTTACACTAAGGAAAAGGGAGCTGGCTTCCAGTTTTTCAGCTCCCGGATCCCTGTGGCTGTGCCAGGCTCCCAAGTGATGTTTGGAGTCCAGCGGGGACTGCAGTGGCATGAGGCAGAAGCTGGTGTTGTCCTGCACCTCCATCTGAGGGGAACAGCTCCAAGGGATACCCAGGGAAAAGGCAGTGATTTACAGAGTTCAGCCCTTTGCTCTGCTCCTATTCCCTGCAGCACATCCCTGTGCAATCCAGCCTTCCTGCTGCAGCAGCTCACCCCTTCTGCCCCACACTGCTCACGCCTTCCCAGACTGTGGTTACTGAGGGACAGGAGCCTTTGATAGTGTTAATCCCAGCAGGGCGCTGTGTGGACTCTAAGAATGACAAGTCACCCTCGGACTCTTAAGACCTTTGGGCCTTGTTTTCTCCCTCTGATGCTCCCTGACCTCAGTGGGAGCTCCTGGATTCTTACAGCGACACTAGAATCCCCCAGCTCGCCGAAGACCGTGGCATGTTTGAATGCTTTTACCCAAATGTACTCTTAACTGTACTTGGTCAACTGGAGAATAAACCTGAGTCGCAAAGAGTCTTCTCATCCCATTGGCTGTGCTAAAGTAAAGTGACAAATGCACTGAAACAGCAGTATTTTATGACTTAAAGGGCTGCAACGGGACTTTGCCATCACGGGTAAAAGCGCAGCTTGTTTCTGAAGCAGTGAAAAGCCGGGCAGGTTTACAGGAAGATCACAGGAGCCATCACTGCCTGGGGTCCTCCCAGGTAAGAACTTCTCAGTGAAACATCATTTTCCTTTGGAAAATGCTGATTCCTTAAAGCCACACTTCCTGCCTGACCAGGAGACACTTTTTTGCTGAAGAGGTGCGATGCTGGATTCAGCCCCGTGTTCCAGGATAAAATTAACCAGTGATCAGGGGACACCTTCCAAGAAATCTCTGCATGAGGAATCAGCCCAGCTCAGCCTACAGCTCTTCACACCAACCTCACAGAAATTTGCCTCCAAGATGTACAGAAATCTCTGTGCCTTTCCAGGCTATAAACTGAAATGGTTTTGATGCAGGAGCTGATCTAAGTTTCTTTGTACCATTCTTGGTAACCCTGCTGCACTGAACATTCTCACTGTGCTTTAATATCAGAACACATCAGAAAGATAAAACATATTTAAACTTGTGATGCTACAGTCAGCTTTAGAAATAAGAAATAAACTGTGATATGTTATGAAGCTATCATAGAACACTAAAACTCCAGATGTTTGACAGGCACGTCCCTTAACATGTAATTCATCCCACATTTTTACAAGATACAGAATATGTACAGGAAAAGTTAGGTTTTGCCATTACTTTAGCACAGAGAACCCATCTGCACTGCTGACAGATGAACCATAAATTCACACAACCTTCCTTCTTCTATTACTTATAGTTCAGGTTCCTATGGGATAAAATGTACCTCCCATAGAAGCACTTACTTATGCTGTCCCCAGGTTATGAGAGTTACTTATTTTTTGCATTTTAACACATTTCTCTCAACTCCTGCTTTATCTCTAGGTTACAGATGGGAGCAGAGGCCTGGAGGGGCTAATCCTGAACTGCATTTAGAGGATTGCACAGGAAATTACATCCCACACGACTTGAGAAACTGCTGGGGAGAGAAGTGACTTTTGGGGATCACATAGGAAGCTATTAGCAGAAGAAGGAACTGAAATAGTCTCCCAGAGGTGGGATAGTGCAGTCTTCATTCCCTCTGAAGCACTTGGCTGTTGACAGCGGTCACTGGCTTATGCACCGCCCCATTTCAATGATGCAGGTCTACTCTGATTCTCTATGTTTTAAAGAGAAACCAGTAATGACAAATTCTAGATTCTCTTTAAGTGCTACAATGTAGTATGTGGACTTAAGCTAACAAGGCTCAAGAGCATCCAAATCCCTGTTTAAGTCCCACTTGCCTTTCTAATAGCGATAATCCCACCGTGAATAGATTGCTGCTTCCGATTTGGTGATACGCGCTGACTGAACATTGGTTTCTAAATTGTTCTGTTTTCTCTGCAGTGTTTTCTCAAGATTGAATATTTTCATTCCTTGAAGGGACTGGGGTGGGAACCATTCCGTTGTTTCCTGAGGGGGAGGAAACTTGCCCAAATTGCCTTTCAAGAACAGAAGCTGTACAGCTTCTTTGGTTGTTTTTATGGGCTCCTCCAGCAGTTTAAAGTTGTGGCTGGCTCTGTCTAACCTCATCATTTCCTCTCCTGTCAAACCTAAATATTTCTCCTAGATCCTATCAAACCATTTCCATGTAGTGTGACAGCATCTATAATTCTGAAGTATTTATAAGACTGTCTGTTTAATATTAAACTACATGCTCTAGAGCTGTTAAATATTGATGCTATGTAAAATGGATCTGATTTCACAGCCTGTTAGAGAACTGCATAAGAAAAAGAAGACTAATTTAAGATAACAGATGCATGGCCAGGATCTCTCACAGGTCAGCTATCCTCTATTTCAGGAACTATGCAGAGATTATTCTCCAAATGCTCTGTCCCTTTTCAGTCCACACACATTTCATATCCTACAGCTTCCCAAAAGCCCTGGTTTCTTGCTACCTAAACAAGTCAGGCTCTGGCTTTTGTAACAGAGAAGCATATTAGGAAATAATGTCCTAATTTTTACAGCTTGCTGTACTTAACATCACTTAACTTTTACAACCAACACTAAAATGCTTCATTGGGGGCCTTCTGGCCTGCAAATAACTCATTTTTTGACTAGTGGGAGCTAATTCACAGACAAGAATATCGGGGCTGCAGGTACAGCTACATCACTGGCATTGGTTTGGGATTAAGGATCCTTCTCCTTCCTTCGTGTCACTGGAGAGAATTCTGTGTTTCTGATGTATTGTCCATTAAAGTGCCTGTTTGAAGCAGTGCTTCAGGGAGGGATTCCAGCATAGCAGTCACCACCAGCACCCTTCAGCGCATTCCTCCCAGTCTGAATTTTCTCAGGCGCTGCTGGGGGTTAAACCTCTCTGAAAGGTCTTGTGAACGCACTGAAATCAGGAATCTTAGGTGAGGAACATGGACAGACATCCTTGAAGGTAATGAGACTTCCTGGCCTTAAATCTATGAAAACCAAATCTCCTTTTCAAGTACAGCTAGTTAAAGAGGGGGTTTTCTGCATCAAAGCATTAGAGCCAATGCCATGCTCCACCTGTGTATCAGTGATAATTAGCAGCCAGCCTGGTACAGCACTCTGCAAATCCAGCTACTGAAACTCATCTGGAGCATTCAAATCTAATGTTGCTGTCTGAACCCCAGAGGCTAAGGATTATCATTTGTAGCTCCACCCTGTATGACTGTCAGCTGTAGCGGTGACTGTTATTGCCTGATAAATGAACAGAGGAAGTTACTTGCACATGAGGTTAACTCACAATATTGTCATCACTGTATTCCTGCAGGTAATGGACAAAATAGTTAGGGAGTAGGAGAGCTGGGGTAGCCTTCATATTGGGTTTCCTGATCTCCAAATGCACACAAGCATCACGTAAGTTGAAATCCTAGGGTAGAAGTCATGCTCCCACTGGGGTCTTGCTGACACGCATAAGAGGACAAGTGCAGCTGCAGTGGGAAGGAAGAAGGAGAACACCGAAGCAGAGGAGCATAAAGTGGGTTCAGGTACAGCAGGGTCCTCTCTCTGCACAACAACCACCTCCTGATTTACCAGCTGTGATTCAGAAAGGGAGAAATGTCAGGAAAGTGTGTGTTGCACTGGGCTCAATTCATCCACCACCTTGTTACTGCAGGGATCAATTGCCTTAAATAAATCCTTGCTGAAGCCAGTTGCCAAAACACATTAACATTTCAGTAAACACAGGAGGGAAACGGACACAATTTACAGATCTTCCCACTCCTATTTTCCACCACTGCTGCATGCTGTCAACACCCTCAAAACCAGAGTCAGCTACGAGAGGATATAAAGATTATTGTAGTTGGCCTGCCAGCAATACAAACAGGTAACACAGGACCAGGAAACACCGTAAGATCACACCCAACGCATTATTGCACCTCATTCATGCTCTGCTCAGACCCTACTGCTTTGTCTCAGCGGTATTTCACCATATAGGGATTTACAGCAGCATTTCAGTGGGATTTTGTCACAGTTCCCTTGAGGACTTCGATTCAAATTCTGTTAAACACACCAAGTGTCATCTACTAATGCACAGTGCCAACAGGGCTGCACATGCGAGCACTGAGATTATGCAGGTTTCTGCCCTTAAACCAAAGTCATCCATGGCTATTCTGCTTTCTCATATCATTTTGCTCACTGCAGAAGCCTCACTTCTGTCTTATCTACTGCAGAGTTCTTTGCCAGCTTGGCTTTCTACCACACTTGTAACATAGTGGTCCCAACAACACACCACCTTTTTGCCAGACACTGTCAGGAGAGCAAAACCAGCAGGCTGGAGACTGGTTCAAGCATGTCCCTTTTGTGCCCTTCATTATACAGAGCTTTTAATCAAGCAGTGCACATGTCAGTCAATATGTTAGCCATTACTGTCCTCCAGTAACTAGGTACAATTGCCATTTTTACCTGCAGTTGGAGGGAGATGGCTTCAGTTCCCCACTCTACAACAGAGTTCTCCCAGGATGCTGAACAAGCTGCTACATGCCTCCATCTCCTCCCTAAAAAATAGCTGCAGAACATGAAACCTTAGTACAGCCTATTGCCTTCTGAGCACGGTGTAAGAACAGCCAAATCAAGGATTGCTTTCAGAAAGCATGTCCTTTTTTAGCTGAATTCAAGCTATTTTGATAGTTAAGTCAGTAACTTTGGGACAAGAGGCTTAAGATTAACAACGTGTTGCTGCAGAAACCCGGTGCTTTGATTTAAAAGGCTCCTGGTGTGCTGCAGCTGAAAACAATGACTGAAAGTGAAGCTGCAGGTAAGGTGAGCAATGATAATACATCAACCTAGAAAGATCTCAGTGAGTGGTACAGGGACAGGACTGGCTCAGCTAAAAATAGTCTACGCACTGATGCTTTGATAATCATAACAGGTTCATCCAGCCTCCCAGGAGCAGGTCTGTTTGATGGAGCTGAGGTCAGTTTGCTAAAAGAAAAGGATGCTAACAACATTTAACAGAGAATCAGGCACAGGAGTAGCTTGTGCTGGAGTAGGAAACCACTGGTTACTGTAGCTCTGCTGCCTGCTTGTGCTCACTCATTCTTACCTGGAGAGGAAGCCTGGGGCTTGTGTAAACCTGAGCCACTCCAAGGCTCAAACAGGCCTGGGCTGTGGGCAGCCCTCCCAGTGGCCACTGGCATGGAATTGCCTTTCCCTCTGGGGACAGAAATGGTGGAGGAGGCTGCAATGAGCAGCAGCTCTCACGGATGGGAGCTTTGTGCTGGCACTGGCAGGTGCTCCACCAGCTGCACTAGAGACATGGATTGGCTTAAATCCCATTCTCTTCCTGCACATCACCAGGTTTAGCCAACAGAGTATGATTATCATGTACTGCAAATAATACAGTTTTTTCTCTCTCTACTCAGTACAGACCCTTAAAGCTGTACAGACTCTGTTAGTATTTTCCATCTGATCATTTAACCTAGGTGCTGAGCATGTTTGCCTCCAGAGGAAGAAACATAGGTCAGCTTCTAGATCTCCTCTTTAGCAGCTCTTGACAGAGAAGAAAACTGGCATCAGGGAAAAAAAAAACCAATAACCTTTCCTTCTATTTTTCCAGGCAGCTGCAAGAGAACAGATATGACCACGAGCAGACAACAGCACTCATTTGGGTATCAAGGATGCAGAAGGAAATGAACTCCAGAGATAGCTCCTGCCCTACAGCTCTGCAGGGGACATTCATGTGGACTCCTCAAGTTAGGCAAGATGTGGGTTTCAGAAGCTCTCAAAACTTTGTACCCGAGTCTGCTTCTGAATGGAACATTCTGCCAGCTATTGAAGGGCGCAGATTTAAGGTGGTGGGATTTCAACACCATGGAAGATGTGGGTAACATCATATTCTTACATCAACTGAAATAACGGAGGAAAGAAGAACTCTTGATTTTTCTTAGCATGATTGAATGGGAAATGGGATAAAACATGACAAAAAAGCAGGTATGATCTAATTAAATCTTTAAACAGAAAATCCTGTAGAACTTCCTGATGCCACTTGATTACAAACATACTTCTTCCCCTCCACAAGAACTGCCTTATGGTACCCATCTTTTCACCAGCCTCTAAGCTACCAGATATGAGGAGCTGTCCTGTTTTGCTCCACTGCAACAGTCTGGGCAAGCAACTCGGTGAATGACCAAGCCAGAGCACTTAGGACACTCCTTACTGGAGAACTGGAAGTGTCTCTGTTTGGGGACAAAATGACCCCCAGCATTCAGGCTAGTGACCCAACCACAGGTAAATTCCTCTAACGCACCTACAGTCACAGCTTGCTGAAAACCTGCTTTGCAGATTCCTCCACGTGAAGAGGTCATCTACTCTTGATAAAAGTCAATACCTTCGTAAGATGCTTTGTGACCGTTCCAGGCTGCAGGAAACAGACTAGTAAGGCTGAATTTTGTATGATTTCTTCTATTTCCTTGTGTCAGGAAGGGTTTCTGGCTTGGAAAGCTGCCTTCTGTTCAGTGCTCCAGTCACCTGTGTGGAATCTGATCAGATTTCCTATCTGTGCCAGGGCTGCCTTAGCAAAGAAACTGTCTTGGCACGAGTTTAAAATACCTCTTGGAGGGCCTGATAAAGTCCCTCCCTGCCAAGAACTATCCTTTGCAATGACAATGCAAATTGACATATTGAATCCACTGTGAGAATATGATTTAAGTGCCCCTTGTACCTTGTGGGCAAGTGCTTTCAGTCCTGTTTTTGGGGACAGCATCTGGCTTCCTGAAGCTTGCAGCAGTCAGTAACCAAGACAGCAGTAGGACTCCAAGCAGTTCTTTAGCTGGTGCTGCTTTTGGACAAGGACACTTTGCCGCCTTATAACTTCAGGCACATGGAGAAATTCCATTCTTGCTGCAGAACAGCACTTAAGTAGCTAGGAATAGTCTAGGAATATTGTTTTCCTTTCTTGGTGGCACAGAAGATTAACCTCAAAAGGTCAGTGCATGTGGGGAATTGATGGGCTGAGAGAACCACGAAGTTCTGCCTGCAGCCTCTTCCACAGCTTGCAGTTCCAAGAGCACTGCCAGCACCAGCTGGCTCAGTCCTCCTGCCTGTACTTAAGCAAAGCTCCTGCTGCCAACAATTAACTTTGAACAACATATTTCAAATGCCATGAGCAGTTTGAGTATGGACCACAATCGAGCTCCAAACGGCTGTGAACAACCAAACTGACCTTTGGCATCTTCCTGCCTAACCTGCAGGAAATCTGCAAGTTGACTAAAGCAGCAGAACAAATCAGTGTTTTTTTCCTGTATGAGACCATATATTCCATCTGCATGAAACCGGCAGCTCCCAACTGAAGAACCAAACCAGCATTTAAAATTTATCCAGTCCCAAGCTGTCACATTCCAGTATTTGCTCTGTTTATGGAGATACAACCATGGTGAGTGAACAGAGAGAAAAAAACCCAGGCTTTTTCTGCCACTAATAGAACTACTTATGCTTTCACCACCTCTTCCCTCTATATTCTCAAGTCTTCAATTCCATATAACCATATAATTCCATCTGCAGACACATGGTCTTTATCATGCCACCCTCGGATATTCAAAACACAGCCCTTGCCTCCTTCGATTGTGACAGATCCTCTGCATCCTAATCTAGGCTTTTTGCTGTAAATTGGCTTTCAAAGCCAAGGATATCGTATCTGGGCTAAGAAAGCATTGTGAGTTTCTATCATTGTGGGCAATGTTTAATTATTGTTCTTCTTTTGTAAAGTAAAAACTAAACGAACCAATCACATTATTCCCCTAAACAGCTAAATATCAGCAGTGAGTGAAGTGTTCCTCGAATATCCCTTTATGGGCGTTGCGAAATCCTCAAATCCAAACTCTGCTCTGATGCAGCATGGAGATCTATCTCCACAGTAAGTGTCCAGCCTCTTTAAAATCCCCCTTAGAATCACAGAATAGTCAGGGTTGGAAAGGACCTTAAGATCATTCAGTTCCAACCCCCCTGCCATGGGCAGGGACACCTCACACTAAACCATGGCACCCAAGGCCCTGTCCAACCTAGCCTTGAACACTGCCAGGGATGGAGCATTCACAACCTCCCTGGGCAACCCATTCCAGTGCCTCACCACCCTAACAGGAAAGAATTTCCTCCTTATATCCAATCTAAACTTCCCCTGTTTCAGTTTTAACCCGTTACCCCTTTTCCTATCACTACAGTCCCTAATGAAGAGTCCCTCCCCAGCATCCCTATAGAACCCCTTCAGATACTGGAAGGCTGCTATGAGGTCTCCACACAGCCTTCTCCAGGCTGAACAGCCCCAACTTTGCAATACATCTTCAAATATTCCATAGAAGAAATGCTCTTTTTAGTGATGCCAACTCCCAGAATGGCACATGTTCTGCACCACTCTAGTGTGCCAGTGTAATACCTGTGACACTACTAATGGAGGGGACTCTGTTCTTTGGTGGCAATATCATGGGGTCATCTGATGGGTCCTTCCTGTCTCTAACTGCTGCCACAGAAAAATCAGAAAGAGAGAGCTGACAGCTCTGGGAGTCCTTCCCCTGCCCCACATAATAGAATCTGCAAAGCAAAAATAAGGTCAGACACTTTCAAATTGCTGCAAGAGGAGAACAGGGAGATCATTTTATATCTAGTTCTAGAAAAGGCTAAAAATAAGCCTGATGGGAGGCAGAAGACAGCCCGAAAATGGATTATTCTCATTTTTTCTGTAATCTAATTTGCGGCAGGGCTTGGTTAAGACAGCAGACACGGTGTGTGGACGAGGGATGGCTCTTTCTGTGGCTTGCATTAGCTTGTCTGTAATGAGTGTTTTCCTTCTCATGTTCGTACCCCCCACTTCCCAGATGAACTGTTCATCCGCACCGCTCCTCAGCAAGTTTCCACACCTCAGCAAAGGTGGTAATATTATTTTTCCTTATTAAATGTTTAATTTTAATTTTAGGAGAGAAGAAAAACCTACAAGAGCTGTTTAAATAACCCAATTCTTGTGTGAACAAAGGGGTGAACGCTTCAGGCTTGCAGGTCTCGCTGGAGTGCTGAGTGGCACCTAGTTAAATAAAACCCTTTTGTTCTGTCCAGCTCCATCAGTTATTTCTCCTGTTCGTGCCTGCACCAGGGATACACACTGCAGTTGCATCCTGCTGCCTGATCTGCATTGCTGTATCTTTGGCAAAAATAGCCAGCATATAGCATGCAGGATGCAGAGAGGGACCGAACAATTATCATCCAGAGCATCCTTATGTACTGCCTCCGGAAGGACATGGGAAAAACCCCAGAAAATTTCATGTTTCCAGGTGTAAGAACAGGGATTAAATTAAAAATATATATTTAAAGAAATAATGCTTTGAGGGGTAGAGTGTCCTACAGCCGCACAGGGTGGTGTTTCTTGGGAAGAATCCAGGTGAGTTTGGGTTTCCTCAGCTGGGAGTTGGAGGCAGGACTGCAGGATCAGCCCATGCTGCTGCAGAGCACTTGTGCACTCACAGGCCTGTGCCTGGGCACAGGCACAGCATCATCCCACAGCAAAGCTCCAGATGCTTCATGCTGACACTGGCTGCCCAGGAAAGAGTCATGTTATACACTAATTATATCAGTGATTTACATCCCTGGCACCCAAAAGGTGCCTCAGCTTTGGAAAAGGAATATTTTTTTTCCCTTTTCATAATAAAAAGAGCACATTCTTCCCAATTCCTGGTGAAGCCACTGCTTCATAAGAAGGATGTGGAGCTGTTGGAGTGAGTCCAGAGGAGGCTGTGGAGATGCTGCAAGGGGAGGAGCAGCTCTGCTCTGGAGCCAGGCTGAGAGAGCTGGGCTGGGTCAGCCTGGAGAAGGATCCTGAAGAGGAGACCTTAGAGCAGCTCCAGTGCCTAAAGGGGCTGCAGGAAACCTGGAGAGGGGCTTGGGACAAGGGCCTGTAGGGACAGGCCAAGGGGAATGGCTTGAACCTGCCAGAGGGGAGACTGAGATGAGCTCTTAGGCAGAAGCTCTTCCCTGTGAGGGTGCTGAGGCGCTGGCACAGGGTGCCCAGAGAAGCTGTGGCTGCCCCATCCCTGGCAGTGTTCAAGGCCAGGTTGGACACAGGGGCTTGAAGCAAGCTGCTCTGGTGGAAGGTGTCCCTGCCCATGGCAGGGGTTGGAACTGGATGAGCTTTAAGGTCCCTTCCAACCTAAACCATTCTGTGATTCTACAGCTGAAAAAGATCTTGATGGTTACCAGCTTTCAGATTTGTTTCTGTAGGGCTCTGCCATGGCCAGACTGTGTACATTCATCTTCCAGAGGATCCCAACGTGCAGTTGAGTCTCGCAAATTTCCATCAGGCAGGTAAGAGAGAAATACAGTCCAGACAACAGCCATGTTTGGAAATAAAATACAACTGCTTTAACCCACCATGGCAGTAGCACAGAACAGGAAAGGAACAACGACACGGACAAGTGAAATCGCAGCAGGAATTGTAGTTGAGTGGTTTAAAAAAAGAACTGGAGTAGTTATTATTACTCATGCATAAGAGCTCCAGCAGAAACCTTTCTTAACCATTGTCTCTCTCTTACCACTTTTCAAAGGTGGGATTAAATTTGTATTATAAAAATTGCCCCCAAAAGCATTGGATTATATTAGAGTGATGCGATGTACTCTATTGCGTTCTTCTGCTAGTCCTGCTAAAAGCCTCTTTAAGCTGTCAGACTTCTGAAGCAGCATGGAAATAGTTATCAAAGAATTGTGATTTTTAAAAAGAAAAAAAGAATTGCTGTATAAAGAATATTTCATGTCTTGTGAGAGGGGCACCTCTGTGACTGGAATTCCTGCGCTAAAATAGGAATCTACAAAATATGCCAGGAATCGTGGCAATGATAAAAGTAGCATGGAAAAAAAGCCACGAGGCACTGAAAGCCTGGACATTCTGTTTTTGAAAGGAAGTGTGGTGGCAAGTGGAGGAAGCCTTACAGGAAAGAGGTTGCTCTCCTGATACTCCAGCCTGCCTGGAAGAAGAAATTATCTCTAAGCAAAAGCCCAGAGACCATTAAACAAAGGAACAAACAAACAGAACAATCCTAGCAATAAAACCCCAAAGTGCTTTTCACAGGAGCAGGGAACGCTTCATTTCCATAGGCAGAGCTGCAGAGAGCAGCGTTCCACTTCTTTGCTTCCATATTAGTTCATTAGAGAGGTCTGTGACACCTGCCCTGAGAGCCCTGACCCAACTGGTGATGAATGGGTTTAATCTCTGGCGTGTGACACCAGCGTTTGTGATTCCTGCAGGTTAATTGATTTCTTTTGGCAAAGCGCATTTCCAAGTCCTGTTGTCTGAGCAGCATGACTGACTGCAGCGGGAAAACAAGGCATCTTGACAGAGGAATGCTCCTGTACCTGACAAGCCATAGGTAGGATGCAAGGGAAGGCTGGAAGTCTTTGCCAAGGGTGCACAATGCCAAGTGCAGATGGCCCGTCACATAGGTGGGAGCTGGACGTTGGATTTGGAGTCCAGCGTGCAGTTTTAAGCTGCTAATAGCAAAGTGCTCTGTTGTTTTTTCTCTCATGGCAAGCATGCAGCTAATAAAAAACCCTCTCCTGTGAATTCTTCCGAGGAGACCACTGAACCCATCAGCAACGGGAGGTGGGACCCGATCAGCAGCACAGACACTGCGGCACATGGCAGGGAGTATCTTAGTAAAGATACTGATCGAAGCTGCACTCTCCAGGAATCTGCAGGATGCCAGGGTATTTTTAACATGAGAGTGGGCATATCTTGGAAACTGCTCTGGGAGTCATTTGAGAGAAATTATTTTGTTAACTGTTACTTATGACAACTGTTCTCCCTCTGTATCCGCGCAAGTTGGTACACAAGGGGGATTTCATCTGCTGCAGTGGTTCACTGCCCTGTCACCAAACACACCTTTTGGCTGCTTGCAGCAAAAATAAGACACCATGAGCACCTAGAAACTTATGTTCTTCTTGCCATGTCTGCAGGTGTTCACTGCTTGGATCTGCATGTACAGATCATGTGCACCGTTACAGAAACAGGGCTGAAAGCAATCACAGAGCAGTTCCCACCTTCAAACTGCAAGAATGAGCCAGGGTAAGCTTCAGAAACACAGGACAGCTTTCATGCTTCTCCTAATCTACTGTATCATTTACCTCTTTTTTTCTCTTTGGAAGTTCCTCCTAACACCTGATTGCCAATTTCCCTTCTTGCAACATAAAGCCCTTATATGCAGGTAACAAACCAGGTACACGTCAGTCATGTCCCATCTCCAAAGACACACCGAAGTTCAGCTGTGCAGGACTTGCCCTCCATACAAGATAAATAATGAGGTCTTGTTTTTTCCACAGCATTTAAACAACTCATTAGAAGGGGAACGTATATACCTAAAGGCACCATGAGGCAGAAACTCCTTCCTTGCTCTGGTATTTATGTGTCAGGAAGAGGCAGGTGGAACTGATCTTACAGGGCCACAGCACCATCTGTGGCACTGCTTCTAAATCTCTTTCATCCATCTGATACGATAGTGTGAGCCAGCAAGTATCACCCAAACTGTTCACTCACTCATGTCAACTTCCAAACACCTTCTTTTCCTCCTAGTCGTACTAAGTCTGGTGACAGGATGTGCCAGGGCCCCTCTCCTTACGGCACAGCAAGGAATCCTCCACTCTCTTTGTCTGCACAGTATGGACAGGCTGTTGTCGTCTGCATTGTCTCCCACTCCCCAAGCAGGAGAAAGGCACTGCAACATCAGACTAGTCACCTACCCACATATTCAGCATGACATTATACATAGATACTCTTATTTTTTGACAATTATGAGAAAGAGACTAACCCCAGCAGTTTGTATGTCATGTGGAAGCGTCTTCTGAATTACTGTAGTTGCCAACCGTGAGGTGGTCCGAATCGGTTTCTTTACTGAAAAACAGTAGCTTTCTTTTTACAAGCTGCAATAAGGGACTGGGAAACACTGTGCTTGTTACAGCGACCCTTGAGCACCTCTGTCCCCACACACAGATTGCTTCCTTCTTGCCTGATGCTCCTGTGTGTTTGGGGCAGTGAGCAGGGCACAGTGGCTGAGGTGGGATTGTGTGCTCAGCATTGACCACCAAGCTCTGTAAAGTACGTCTGGCTCTTCATCTAACAGGCCATTGGTTCCAGCACACAGCAACCCCTCACTACAGATGGCCTGGGCTGTGGCATGCTCACGCAAGGGTAAAAGGGGCCTGTGACCTCAACGACTGTGCTCCCCTCCAGGCCATATGGCCAACAACCGAGATCCACCAGAGCAGAAGCGTGTAAAGGATGCCCAGCCAGCACGACCCAAGCCCCTGTGCTTCGTGCAGCCTCATGCACTCTGCTGAGCTGAGGTTCTGAACACACAACTCAGCATCCTTTATCTGGAAGGACCAATGCCAGGCAAAGAGAACAAGCATATAGTTCAAGAGAGAAAACAGGCTGCACGGTACCTCCCCGTTTGCAATTGCCAGGTTACTCACTGTTGTTCAGCTTTGGCTCGGTCACTTAGGAAGAAGAGGGCTGTGGCCAGGAAGAACATCCCTCCCAGGACAACGACAAACGGGCAGAGCATGAGTGCGTACCCCAAGCTGAGGAACTCCCAGACTGGGGACTCCTTTGTGCTTTGTCGGATCAGGTCTGAGATCTAGGAGAGACAGGCAAAAAAAATCAGTCACTCAGATGAAAACGAGCCATGATAACGGTGAAGGGAACAGGATTCCCTGAACAACCCAACCGCCCACTGAACATATGCAGGAGGTTTAAAATGGAACAGTGTGTTCAGTGAAAGCTGAACGTCCCTTGCACGCTTCAGCCTTCCACATGCCACTCCGGAGCCTGGGCAACTCACGCTGTGAGCAGCTTGGCAGGGGTTCTCCTCTCCCTGTCACTGTTCTGGCCTGATCTATTACTCCTCCTACAGCCCTCTCCATCTTCTCCCTGGCTGTTTCCAGGACTGCATCTGTGGGTGTCTAACCTGGCTGTACTGAGCAAGCCCCGCAGGGTGCCGGCAGGGCCATGCAGGCATTGCTCAGTGGGTGAGGAAGACAGACATCCATCTTCCACAGTGTCCGTCAAGTCCTGCTTACTCCTACACCCTACCTACCTGTCAGCAAAAGGAGGTATTAAATTACATGTCTGTGTATTGAATGGGAAGGGGGAAATGTTTTTTCACAGAAGAAACCCAGAGATTTCATCTGATTTTCAGAAACACAACCCAAACATGGGCATTTGTATCCCCATGTCTGTGTTACAGGCCCTATTCTAACCACCTCAGCTTGCTGCTTTGAAGTGTAATTGTGGGCAAGATGTGACTCTGCCCCCAGGCTCAGACCAGGTCTGTTGCACTGGGGCTGTGCTCACACCTAAGAACCACACACACCAAGTTTGTGGGTAAGGCAGCCTTTGTCCTCCAACAGCCAAAACCATTATGATACGAAGCAAACGCAATCTGTGCTTACACGAAGGAGCAATGACATGCACTGGCAGGATTTAGTTCATAATGAAAAGCTTTTGCTAAAACTCAGTAATATTTAATGACTGTAGCTAAAAGAATCACATTTTAATATTTATAGCCCAGCAAACAACTTTACTCTCCATAAATCCAGCAGAGCAGTGCCAGCAGTAGGGTGGGTCTCAAGGCATTGGGCATTTGAATGTCCAGCTCTGCTTTTGTCTGTGACCTTTTGTTGAGGCAGTTTATACCATGGGACTGCAGGGGATTTACAACATAGAGCCCTGCTGCTGTTCACACACACAATTTGGTTCCAGAAACAGGCAAAACTTCTGCAGCAGCTTCTGAAGTGCAACTGGTGTGGTTTAAGCAGCTGAACCCAGGACACTATACTACTGCTAATGAAAGAGGTGACATCAGACACAAACTACAAGCAGAATCTGACATTCCAGGCTTAAATCTTGACAATCGACTGAGAAAATGTCACAGGCAGGAGAAATCACCTATTGACAGCGCTGCAGCCAGCTGTAGCCCCTGGAAGGTAAAACGTGTGTGAAGAGATGCCCCAGCAGAGGCCAAGCACAATAGGAGGTCACAGAAGGATAACACCTGTGGGGTGTCCAATGGACAGGTTGCAGAGTGTGCCTCAGTGGGAAGACTGGAACACTGGAATACTGGTGGTCTCTGTGCCTTAGTATCTGTCCTCCAGCTCAGCCTGGCTCCTACGGGAGTGAAGGAAAGGAGCGATGGCCAGCCTGATGGTGGAGGTGAGACCACTGCACACAAAAGGGCAGAGAAGTAGATGAGGATGGGGTGTTCTCAAGTAGAGAGGAGCGAATAAACACTGGAATCATGGAATGGTTTGGGTTGGAAGGGACCTTGAAGCTCATCCACTTCCAACTCCCTGCCATGAGCAGGGACACCTTCCATAGACCAGGTTGCTTCAGTGTTGCCTTGAACACTGCCAGGGATGGGGCAGGCACAGCTTCTCTGGGCAAGAGTGTGTCTATAGAAAGAACTGAAGGGTTTTAGCCAGAGTTCTCCGTTTCATTCCCTGCCCTAGAAAGGAGGAGAAGAAAATTTCAGTGCTTGGGGTATAGTTAAGGAAGCATTCCTGACTTCTCACAGAGGATTTTAGTCACAGGGAGTAACGCGTGTAAGGAAAAACAACAGTGCTATGAACCAGTCTTCTGTGAGAGATGATGGTTGAAGTCCTCAGACTGAAGGCAAGTAACAGTCTATTGGTCTGAGAGGCTTATTAGAAAACAGCAACACGACTTGAACGTGAAAAGAACGCAGCCACAGGGAATTATCACAACGTGCACTGCCCCCAGAGACATGGACATCAGCTGGTAATTTATTCCCTCTTGTATCCAGACACCTTAATTCCCAGCATTTCCCCAATTCTTCATTATGGACCAAAATCTGGCACTGAATCAGCCCCTCTATGTGCAATAGCCAGAACTGAGGCCATTCTGAAATAAATATAGAAATTCTAAACCGCTTCTCATTTTGGGAAATGGATACAATTATCCTCCAAAAGGATCAGCCAATAAATCACTCCACAAATTGACATGATAAATCAGCAGCAGAGGATGAAAAGCCAGGCGTGTGCTCCCAACTGCTTTCTCTTATGGATGATATGACATTAAAGGCTAAAACCAGCTTTGAAAACAAAGTCTCCAACAAATAGAGCTCCCAATGCAGCTCTCCCCACACATTCCCTCCATAGCATCATGTTGACCTTTTATACCAACAAATCTTCTTAATACTGAATCTGTTGCGTTTTTCAGTTTTAACCCCCATACTCTGTGGGAGCACACTGCAGAAGCACCAGTGTTCCTCCCATTGAGATACAATTCTTCCCACCAAGCCAGCTGGGCTTTCTTGTCTGCCTCCCCTCATCCATGTCTGCATCTCTTCTCTAGAACTTTTATCAGGACCCACATGTATGTTTTTGCTGTTAACTTAGGAGCCACTGTTCCCTGTTGGTTTGTTCCATGCAGTTACAAGCCACCTGCTAAGACTGGAACTTTGGCATCTCCTTTCAAGAGGGCACAAGACATAATTACAGACTTGGGCTCCAAGAATGACATACTGTTTGCCAAATGCTCTGCTCTGTATTGCCAGGTTTTGACTTTCCAGGCCCCTCTCAGTGGCAGCATCTTGATTTGTCTAACTGTGATTTGGCAAGACCTAGCTTAGCATCATATTGGGTGTCTTCTATCACGAGTAAGAGCAAGCGAGGGTTGCAAGCACAGCAGTGCCAGTTCTCCCACCCGGCACCATGTGTGGGATTTCTTTCTTTGTTCTGCCAATTGGTAGGTGGCAAAAAACCTTCCAAACATTTATCCAAGATGTGGGGGTGGAAAATCCATGAGGAAATCCTGCTGCTGCTTTGCAGCCTAATCAAAAGTCTTTGATAACATCCTAACTGCGAAAGTTCACATCGTCTTTTCCCTCCCTGTGTAAAATAGATCTTAGAATAGAGGAATGACTTTGCTAAATAAACTTTAACTCATGGCACTTCTACCACAGAATACAAACGGCCTGTATTCAGGCAGTGGCAGCCAACTGGATGGAGTCCAGCTAGAGATAAGGCTCACTTTCTGGAGGACAAACAATACAGCTGCAGTGGGCATGATCCAGACGCCCGGAATCTCTGGTTGTGTCTCAATCTGAGTGCAGAAAACAATGAAGAGAAAAAGGGCAACTCCATTACCTTCCCTGGGAAGCATGCGCTGTGTGGTCTGGAACACCAGACAGGTCCCTGATATAACAACAGGTCAGGCCCTAGGAAGACGTCTTGCTTCTGTGTCCCTGTCCCTCCTCACCAGCATGAGTGGTTAAATTCAACTGATTTATTAATTAGACAACGTAACAGTGAAAACGTCTTTGAAATGATCATTCCATCTCCTCTGTCTCATTGCTGAGTCAAACAGCTCAATTCCTCTGCAGCTGCTTGATTTCTCTGCATTTCTGACACTGCCTCTTGGGCACGAGTCTTGCTACATAAATGATGTTTGCACTGCAATGTCTGGCACAAATACCTGATTTGCATCATTACCAGTTTGATACAAGCCAGGTTCTCCCTGGCTCCTTTCTTTTAAGGATCCCTGTAACACCACAGTGGTTTGGGGATCACCCACTCTGAATTCAGAGATGCATGCGAAAGGTTTCTTTGATTTATTTCTTTTTAAATCTAACATGAATGCAAATGAAGACTAGAAACAAAAATAAGGCATTTTGTAAAGGAAAAGTAAATTTGCTGAGGCTGGGGGGGAGCACAAGTATTTACACTGTGCTAAATGGCATGAGAAACACATCATACAAAGAGGAAGTAAACCTGACTAGTTTAGTATATTCATTCATAAAACTGCAGAAAGGTAAAAGAAATTAAAGTCTAAAAGTTACTCAGTTTTAACCTTGGCATGTTTGGATGTTGGAGAGGAAAAAAAAGCAAACCATCTTGTTAATTGTGCAAAAACTCATTTGATGCTTGGTGACAGTATCAATATCCTGCACTGGTGCTGGTACCCAAGTCTGCCTCAGCAGTACCCGCAGCAGGGATTCCTACACTGGGAGCGTGCAGGTCCTTGGCAGCGCAGAGGAAGAAACCACTTATTTAATGAGATTTTAGTGCACAGGAGTGACAGAGCAGATGGGACAGAGCTTGAAACACTTGAGTGACACCTCGATGAGCTCTGGATTTCTGGGCCTTCTTTAACGACATACGTTCACATACTTTAAACCTCCATTTATCAAAACTACAGAGAACCTGCACTTGTAACCAGAGGCACAGGAAGCAGGTGCACAGCAGGTCTGGACAGGCTATGAGCCCTTGGCAAAGAGTGTTTGGTATATGGGAAGTCATTTGGGTTTTTAACGCAGGCTTAAACCTTGTCTGTTGCTGAGTCATCACAAGTGGGCAGCTTGTTAGCTCGTTGCAATGATGAGACAAATCCTGTGTGAATTGGTCTCCAGGTGCTTAATTGCCCCTCTTTTTTTTACAGCTGACAGCCATGTCAAAGATTTGGCCTTTCCTGCACTATGAAAAAGGTTTTTAATTATTCAGCTCAGCCCGAACCAGAGAAATCCTCAACTTAAAGTTACTGCCTGAAGAAAGAGATAATAAGGATGAGGGGACGGGGGTTCTCCTCCTTGGTGTTTCCCTGACCTATGTACATCAGATG